TAGGGAGCTCGCACACGTGGAAAACCTCCACTTATGCTCAGCAGAAAGAGCTACTTGGGCAAACAATGGGAAAAGAACATAAGATGTGAATACCATGGTGACTAAGAATGAGAATGTCTATTAATAAGAAAAAAGCCGAGCAATCGTGAGCCATAATTAGCAAATAGCAATACAGGGCTCACAGGATGTTATTGAGTGTCTCTTAGCTTTGGCTACACAACGGCCTTCTCATCTGAGCTGGACGACAGTTTCTAGCTCGCCTGGATCTTAGTAGCAGTCCAAATGTGATTTAAAACCAGTTAGGCAACGCTTTCTTGCCGACACATAACCATGAGTGCGACCGGTACTCATATGACTTGCTAGCCGGGCCTATCAGAATTCACACGTATGGTTTAAATGGTGCCGATGAAGCGACCCTAAATGACTATATGTCTCACAAAACGATATACGGATAGTTTCGAAATCCATTCACCCGAAATATAATAATATCGTGGAAATAATGGTTATTACTGACAGGCATTATCCACACCCATCCGGATACAAAATGACAAATTAAGAGAAGCTTGGTTTGCCCTGCAGTTCACAACTGACCTGTGGGCCACAGGCAGCAGAGCTGCAAGGCTGATAGGTGATGTAATGCTGCCTCAAAACATGAAACCAGTTTCGAATTCGGATGGTGGCGCTGATGCCAATCGAGAGAGGTCGAAACTGCAGCCCAGCTCGAGTGATAAGTCCCTTCGGGAGGCAACAATGGCGGCACGAATAAGAGATTAAGCTGACCTTTATGCCCTTTTTGCTTCAGCCCCCCTTACGGTTGGTTCAACGGAAGATAATGCAAGATGATGCTGCAAATCGCGCTATAGGACTAGAACCATCAGAACACGAGAGGAACTATGGGCTAAAATTGATTGACATTGGGTGTTTTGTGTTGCTTGTTTGTTTTGGCAGCACCAAAATATCAGCGAAGCAAATAGAAAATACTCGGAAAGGCGTCTATATAGACAAACTTGCCTTCTAAGTACGTCCCTCTTAGCGATACCAGGAGGGTTTGAAGAGCCGAATGTTGATAGTCGGACTTGGCTAATAGGTCTAATGAGCCTGTGAGCAAATGAATCAACACTAGGCTGAACGAATAAAATGCGCGAATTGAGAGGTGTAGATGGTCGATTAACATAGCATGTAAATTGGTGTGATGACTCAAGTAATAGTTAATGTAACCTCAACAAGCGTTTACGATTGGTCAGCAAGGCGCTACCACGACAACAAATGCACTACATCAGGACATATGATATGATAACGACTTCGATTCACTACTTATTCATCCATTTGGTATGCAAATTAGCTCCATAAATAGGCATCTAGCCTAGCGCACCAATTTAGACAAAATGCTATCTCGGTACCAAGTCGAAATTACTCCGATCGGCTGCAGTACAAGACGCAAGTTTTCTAGGCTTTAGCCACCTGGCATATAGCACCTTATCGTTAGACGTCGAAGGTTATATACCCTTTATCGTCAAAAGTCTCGATAAGTTCTACGAACAATCTGCTTGAAGCATGGACGTAAATGAGAAAGTAAAAACAAAGCACATGCTGGAAGCTCAACGGAATAAACAACAGCATGAGGCTCACAGATACATACGATGGAAATATTTCGCACGAATTCTCGTTCGCCTGCTAGCTTGCACATTATACCCATCCCCTTCATCCGGTCAAGAAGGCCAATCAGTATTTACATACCAATCCCACAGGGTTGAATGGCTACATCGCCAAAGACGAATGGTCAATTTCACCTGGGCGCTTACAAAAGACACCAACTTTATCAGAAATTATGAAGAAGCAGCCAGATGGTGTTCTCTGCAGAATGGTCATCTGCCAAGCTCTGAGGAGATGCGATATTTCTACAAAACACTTCAGCCAATCAGGCAAATGCCACTGGTAGTCCGAAGGGGAGATAGTCCGCAAGGAAATCTGGATGAGACCCGAGCATCAACTGTGGACTCCGAATGGCCCAGTTTAACATTCTATCTCTTAAATGTATTGGAAGCGACAATGGATTATCCGAGTGCCGAAAGTGGCGAGCGAATGTGCCTGGTCATAAAAAAAGAGAACGGAAAGCCGGTAAGTCTAATAGGGCTTTATTATATTGACCTAGGATACGAGATTTCTCAACCAATCTATA